GTGCACACATGTTGAAACTTAAAAAATGCTTATAGAATGCTCAATACAAATTACCACTAACTAAAGCTACAGTTTTCACACCAAATCATTAAGTATTTTATTACGGCAAGAAATAAGATTTGGAGTCTTATTTTATACTACTTCCAGCCCTTAATATAAGATGTACTTAATTAATTTGGATAAATTAAGAAAAGTAATTAAATTAGTTATTTGTCAAACTTATGTATTAATTTTGTCAAAATACCCTTTTGAATTATTTGATTGAAACTACTGTTTGATGCAAATTCTTTTAACATATGCAATCAATAAGTTAGTTTGAATAAGAAAAAGGAGACAAAGTAGATTGCGGTATTATATTTAGGACCAAATTCAACTCCTCACTAGCTCCTATATTATTTTTTTGGTGAAAACTAGCTCTTATATTAAAGATATGAGATAGTATCACATTTAGTCATTTACATGGAAGCCAATAAATATGCAATTTGTACAGGGAAAAATCCATTTAACTCCGACATATGCCACTTAACTTTTAATAGGTCCCAAAAGATTCCAAAATTTTAATTCAGTATTAAAAGATAAAAATGAAATTATTTTTTGATGTGAAACTATCAAAATGCCCTTTTTTTACCCAAAAAAAAAAATTCAATTCTTGTTGAAGCGCTACCGGAGATTTTTTTTTATACAAACAAGGTGGCTAGCTAGGGAAGGTTAGAATATCCACGACTCCTTAGCTTGGCTCACCAGAAGGTTTATAAAGAATGCTGCCAATATATAATATAGTTAAAAGGGTTCACGCCCCAAATTGACATGTTATACAACATATAGGCACACATATATAAATAATCACAAATTAAAATTAAAGTTTGATACCCACGAAGCCCCTTTTATGACCTCAAACTCAACTGAATCGTTAATCCATTAAGCAAAGGAATTTAGTTTAAAACACGTGGATTCAAATAATGCCAATCGCATGCAAAGTCCTAAAGGCTTTCAATCATCTACCAGCATACAACCTAACACTACTAATGGTGAATAACAAAGAAACAAGAAACTGCAGAACATTGCGTAACAAATGTCATGATAACTAATGTGACAACGTATAGTCAAAATATCAAGGTAGAAATAACCAAGAGGGACTCCACGTGTTTTGGAAAAACGCGTCTGAGTCAGCTGGGCCCGACGAATACGACTTATCTCAGTTAATTGGCATCTGTTCTATCGCCATCAGGTACAAATGGGTTTTTTCCCTCTGAAATGTGGTTTTATGAGAAAGTGTTGAACGAATGTGGTTCATAAATCTGAATTTTCGCCAGTAAATTGAATGAGCTTGTCGAGGTTTTTTTATTTTTCAATTCGTCACCTCGTTTTCAATTTAAATATAATTTTATAAGTGTTTTGTTTTGAAAGATAGAAAATGTTAGGGGAATTTTAAAAATGTAACTTGATTAAAAACATTTACTTAATTATTGAAATCCACAAGAAGAAAATCGATTTACAACAGATTTTTCCTAATCTCTATCGCAAGTTTTCGTGTTAAATTTTATTATTCTATAGTGTATGGGACATATTAAAAGGGACGAAAAAAATAAACTTGATAGAATTTTTGGAACGAGATTATCATATATACGCACATTTGTCTTGTTTTTGTAACAATAATTTTGTTAGATCACTTATACTACCATGTAAACACACACAAATGGCCTTGATCAGTACCACTATTGTAACTCCTTTAATTTCTAGATCTCCAACAAAAAAAATTTAATCAATTATATGTCAAGCGCTTAGCAAAACAATAATGGAGAATGCAATGTCTCTCCTTTCATTTTCTTTCAGTGAAAGATAATTCTGTCCCATCGAAAAAAATAGAAGAAGCACGTGCATGGAAAAGAACCATTGCATGGACATGCATTTATGGAAAATTGGCTCATACTCGCTGTGTGGACCACGGCTCATCTTTTTTGTGATCGGAGATCTAAAAAAATCAAAAAAGTTCATTTGGCTAATTTTAATTTTGATAGCATTTTCTTGTTTCTTTTTAGTCTGTTCCTATGGTGTGCTTCAAAGTGCTAGGCTGCATTAATTTAACGGGGAATGAGATATAGCTCTTAGTGATTTCATTATGTCTTATAAGAAGCATGTATATAGTGGGGTTTGGGGGTCTCTAATGTGCTTTTATCTAATGGCATTTGTAATGCCTCAATCTTTAAAATATTTTTCTTTTTTCTTTTAATCATTATATGTTACATAAAATGAATGACATTTTGATCATATCATATAAACATGAAATGATGTAGTTTTGAAATTTATTTCATGATTTTTGAAAGTAAGAAAATAATAAATTGTGTGTTTTTTATTTATTATTTGCAAATTGCGCCATTTCATGCCCATAAAATATTTAATATAGAATACAATGATCAAAAGATACTAGAGAAAAACATTTGCAGAATTGGAGTAGTATACAGGGTATATTAGAGAGTGCTAGAGAAAGGCAAATTAGAGGCTCCAATCCCGAATAAATTGTGGTCTTCACATGATGAAATCACCTATATGAGTTGGAGTGGGGCTACTCCAATAAAATTTTTGTGGGGATACTCCAATAAACTTTTACTGAAGTCTTTATTGAAAACATTTGTGAATGTAAATGTGCGTATGGCCTATTTGTGTACGACCAGCTTGTTGAGTAGTAATTTTTTCTGTTTATATTTGTGGATATGTTACTAACGTACAATAAGGGTTTGGTTCACCGAAGCTATAGGTTCATTAATTACTTTGTGATGAGATATAAGTTTCCTATCTAGATATAATATAATGCATACGGTAGTAGCCCAAAAAACACCAAATTTAAAATGTTTACACTCTGAAATATTCCAAAATTCATTTTATATGTCCTTTTTAGTGCGTTTTGAAATATATAGGGGATTTTGTAAATTTACTGAATTACAGAAAAGTCACACTTGGCGTTTATATTTTTGGCCTTATTTCACAATTTTTATGCAAAGACTTTCTTTAAATTCTAAGCCTATTTTGATGATTTTAACTCTGAATTAAATGATGGGTAAAGACTTCAACTTATTTAAAAAAGGTGACTGCTTTTTTTTTTTATGTCGCTTGTTCTCATAAACTATTAAGATCTCAGATTTTAGTTTCTACAAAAATATTTAGAATTGTTAGGTGATTAGTAAATGATTTGGTTGTATTCATTCTAGATCGTTCTCTTTTGTAGTATTTACTGCTAGGTGTTTTTTTTTTTTTTGGTTTAGTAAATCCCATCCCAAATGTAAAGGACTATCACTGTACATCATATTATACATCAAAGTAATAATACCGAATTAAAGCATTTTTTTCTTTTACATTTTTAGTGCCTTCTGTTCACATTTTTATTCGGACAGCGTATTAGAGCCTTTACCTAACCATCAGTTTGGACTCATCCCCTTCTTCTACACCTAAAAGCACTACCTACTTCACCTTTACGGTTCTCTTTGAACGTGTGTCCCTGGTATAGCAACCCATTTTTAATCATAGAGGGAAAAGATGTCACAAATTAAATAAAAGGGTGAAAGGATTAATATTTCAGTTTACTAAGACTGCTAGATGTTCATATGAACACTACTACAAAAAAGTTTATTTTCGTCTGCTATTTTCGTCTGAAATTGAAAATAGACGCATATGGGTGTCCATAATCATCAGTTGGGAAAAAACAGACGAATATGGGCCCACTTATTTGTTTGGTCATATGATGAGACGAATAAGTGGGCCCATATTCGTCTGGTCAACATGACCAGATGAATATGGCCCTTTTTTTTTTAAATACTCTCGCCCACACTCCCCACAAAACACCCTTCACCCTCATCTTATCTTATCTATCAGCTTTCATTCTCTTCGGTCTCCTCACCCACGACGCCACCCCTGTCTCCAAAACAGCACACTCTCTTCCCATCCCCCCACATTGCCGTCCCCATCCCGGGCCCTTGTCCCCCCATAAGCCTTCAAGTCCTTTCCCCTGCGTCCCCACTCCCCCCCACCACACCTCCCGACCCCACCCCCACCGGCATGGTCCCCCTGCCCCCGCCCCTGCCCCCCGACCCCAACCCCCCCACCAGCGCGGTCCCCCCTCCCCCTGCCCCCACGACCCCACCAGCGCGGTCCCCCCTCCCCCTGCCCCCACGACCCCACCAGCGCGGTCCCCCCTCCCCTGCCCCCACGACCCCACCAGCGCAGTCCCCCCTCCTTGTCCCTGCCCCCCGACCCCCGCATCCCACCCCCACCCACCCCGTGGACGCCGCCACCCCCCGACCCCACCCCCGCGTCCTTATGGACGCCCTTGCCACCCCGACCCCACCCTCGCCCCCCAACCAAAACCCCACTCCCTTATCCCCACTCGCCCCCCCCCACACGACCCCGACGTCCAACTTCCCGTAATCCCACCCAAAGTATTTTTTCTTTCACTCACATTTTTTTGTGTGTTTGTAGATCACTTGTTGGTAGTCTGCAGCTCTCTTCATTTTGCATTCTTCACTTTATAAGTAAGTATGATATCTTTTTATAGATTAATTGATCATATATGTTGCTTATTGTTGTTTGATGAACTGTTGGAATTAGGAGTCTAGCTAGCTTGTGATTGTGTTGTAATTTAGATTTTTAAGTAACTTGTGGGTAAGGCAGATGCATGTATAATCAATAGAATGGAATTGATGAGTTTTTGATTTTCTATTATTTAGATTTATGTTTTCATGATACCTATGATTTATAAAGAATAATGAGTGGTTTTAAATATTTTCTTGTAGTAGTTATAGTGTTTGATGAAATGGCTATCTATATGAATTATATGAATTTTTTATTTTGTAAATTTTTTAAAATGCTTAATTTAGAATGATTAAATTGTTGAAATTAGCTGAGCTGCTTAAATTTTCTTGGAATTGAGCTGGATGAAACTAAAGTAATGTTGATTTCGATCTTAAATTTAATTTAATTTTTTTTACAATTACTTATATATTAACAGAATGGATCGTAGTTGGATGAGTGCTTTGAGAACATCCAAGGAGCATGAGGACGGGGTAGAAGAATTTATTGAATTTACTAAAAAGAATGCTTATGACAAAAGTGGAAAGTATTTTTGCCCCTGTGTTAATTGTTTAAATGGGAGACGTTCGACTATTGATGGTTTAAGGGATCACTTATTTTGTGAGGGGATAAATCTTCGATATACAAGATGGATATGGCATGGCGAAAGAGGAACAAGGCCATTGGTTGACGAAGAGGAAGTGGTGGGTGGATTCAATGATAGAATGCATGATATGATTCATGATGTTGGGCTGGGATTCTCTGCACAATCGCATATAAATGATAGCTTGCAAAGTGATGCAGAAATAGCTTTATACCCTGGGTGTTCTACGTATACATGGTTGACAGCTGTATTGAAGTTATTCAATTTGAAGGCAACTAATGGATGGACAGATAAAAGTTTTACGGAATTACTTCAATTGTTGGGTGATATGCTTCCGGCTGATAATGTTCTTCCAAATAGTGTTTATGAGGCAAAGAAAATCTTGTCTCGGATGGGAATGGGCTATGAAAAGATACACGCTTGTCCTAATGATTGCATATTATACACGGAAGAGTATGCTGATCTTAATGAGTGTCCAAAATGCGGATCTTCACGATATAAAGTGAAAAAGCATAAAGATAGTAGTGATGATGGCGATGCTAATGAGACAACTAAAGGGCAACCTTTGAAGGTACTATGGTATCTTTCGATAATACCACGATTCAAAGGGTTGTTTGCTAATGCAATAGAGGCAAAAAAGATGACATGGCACGTTGATGAGAAAATATCAGATGGAAAATATCTTCGGCACCTTGCTGATTCTCCCCAATGGAAGAAAATAAATGAAATGTATCCAGAATTTGGTAGTGAGCCAAGAAATCTTCGTCTTGGGCTTTGTATGGATGGAATTAATCCTTACGGTACTCTCAACAATACACATAGTGCATGGCTAGTTTTGCTTGTGATTTACAACTTACCTCCCTGGTTATCCATGAGGTGCAAGTATATGATGTTGTCTATGATGATATCGGGACCAAAACAGCCGGGGATCAATATCGATGTCTACTTGGCACCTTTGATTAAAGACTTGAAGAAATTGTGGGAGGAAGGCGTAGATGTGTTCGATGCACATAAACAAGAGTCCTTTAAGCTGCATGTAATTATCTTCACGACGATAAATGATTTTCTTGCTTATGGAAACTTGTCAGGATACAGTGTAAAGGGACATAAAGCATGTCCTATATGTGAAGCGGACACACACTATCACCAACTTAAGCATGGAAGGAAAACAGTTTATCTGGGTCATAGGAGGTTTCTTGATCGATTCCACCCATACCGTAGATTGAAAAAGGTTTTTAATGGTACACCAGAACATGGATTGGCTCCGAAGCCATTAACTGGAGAGGAAGTTTATCGTAAAGTGGAAAGAATTGATGTCGTGTTTGGTAAGAATAAAAAGATTGTAGGTGAGAAGAACATTTGGAAAAAAAATTCATATTCTTTGATCTCCCATATTGGTGTAATCTTGATGTTAGACATAGTCTTGATATGATGCATATGGAGAAAAACGTTTGTGATAGCCTTATTGGTACTCTTTTGCACATACCAGGAAAAACTAAGGATGGAATCAATGCGAGACTAGATTTGGCTGAAATGGGAATAAGAGAACGGTTACATCTGCAACTAAAAGAGGGTAGTAAGAGGGTTTATTTGGAGCCAGCGGCACACACATTGTCAAAAGCAGAGAAAACTAGCTTGTGCCGGTGTTTGCATAACATTAAGGTGCCACAGGGTTATTCTTCTAATATGAAAAAGCTTGTCTCGATGGATGATTTAAAGTTAGTCGGGATGAAATCTCATGATTATCATGTATTGATGCAGCAACTATTACCAGTGGCTATTCGAGGTATTATGAAAGATCATGTGAGAAACACCATAACTAAACTGTGTCTTTTTTTCAATGCTATCTGTAGCAAAGTTATTGACACTGAAAAGTTAGATGAATTGGAAAAAGAGGGATATGTTATTCTGTGTCAACTAGAAATGTATTTTCCTCCAGCATTTTTTGATATCATGGTACATTTAATAGTGCATTTAGTAAGAAAGGTGAGGCTTTGTGGCCCTGTATATCTAAGATGGATGTATCCATTTGAGAGATTCATGAAAGTCTTAAAGGATTATTCTAAGAATCCTTATCGACCTGAGGCATCAATTGTTGAAAAATATGTAGCTGAAGAGGCCATAGACTTTTGCAAAGGATATCTATCTGGAGTGGAAGCACAAGCTCGACATGACGATAGGATAGGTAAGGGAACTCGAGGGCTTAAAGTGAAGAGTATTGTCCGTGAAGAACTGTTTCAAGTGCACTTATACATTTTAAATAATATGAAAGAAGTTCAACCGTACTTAGATAACCATAAGCAGGTTTTAAAGGACAAGTATCCAAAGAAAAGCGATAGACAGATAGCTAATGAGCATAACAAGATTTATTGCATGGTTCAAGGAACAGGTTTAGAGGGAGACAAATGTTTCTGACACAATAAAATGGCTAGCTTGGGGGCCTTGATTTGATGTCACCACTTGGAGTGGATATGATATAAATGGGTATTCCTTCTATACAAAAGCTCAAGATGAGAAAAGTACTGTGCAGAATAGTGGGGTAATGGTAGTTGCTGAAGCAATGCATTTCTCTAGCGCCAAAGATAAAAACCCTAAATTGGCATCCATGGCCTATTATGGTATTATTGAGGAGATATGGGACGTAAGTTACACAAATTTCAAAGTTCCTATCTTCAAGTGTAAGTGGGTTAACAATAATGGTGTTCAAGTAGATCAAAAATTTGGATTTACGTTAATTGATCTTCATAGGATTGGTTATACAGATGAACCATTCATTTTAACAAGTCAAGCAAAACAGGTATTTTATGTCACCGATCCTGCAAATACCAAATTGTCATTTGTGCTTCAAGGTAAAAAACAAAAGGACAGTGATCCAACCTTTAGTATTGATGGGACATCACCTTTCACTACAAATCCACCTCTATCGAATGAAGTAGAATTGGTAGATGACAATGATGAATATGCTGTTAGGAATGATCACTGTGAAGGAATATGGGAAAATACATAATGTAAGACTCTAACGGAAAAGTTATGCACTATATTAGAATTTTGTGTTTCTTATTTGTTAATTTTTTATTGATTTCATTACAGTTGACTCACTTGGTTCACTCTGGTTTACTAACAGGACATGGAGGATGATGATAGAAATATGGACAATTTCGATGGAGATCAAGGGCACGATGAACCTTATAGAAAAAGGGGTAGAGGCACCATGTGAATGCCAAAGCTAGCAGTACATCACGGGAAAATTCTGAGGAAGCATGTGGATTTTGATGATAATATGAATCCGGTTGGTCCAGAAGCAGATAGGTTCATAAGCTACGTAGGCCTTCTAGGTCAAAGCAAAGTGAGCATTCTGTATTCTAGCTGGAAAGAAGTACCCCCTAAAACGAAGGATGCGATTTGGCAAGATATGTTGGTATGTAACTTCATAAACTTCTTATACTTTTTAATAATATTTCTTACTAATAAATATTCTAATTTCATTCATTACCAATGAACTTCAAAGCAAACCTATGATATCCCTCCCACAGAGGAGATGAGAAGACGGTGGCTAGACCAAGTACGCGAGCGATGGAAAGATTTTAAGACAATTCTCACTCGTACTTACATTCGAGGGCCTAAACAGGATGAAAATCCATGTGATATTTATTCATTTCTTGATGAAGACACTTGGAGAAAATTTGTGGCTTCACGTCTAGCTCCTGAATTTCAAGTAAACTTATTCTACTTAGTGAATATGACCATATAAACTAGTTTATTTCATTGAACTAACGTCATTTTTGTTTCTTTTCTGTAGAAATTAAGTGCTCAAAATAAAGACAAACAAGCTAAAAATCTGTACCAGCATTACATGTCTCATGGCGGTTACAGAAAGGCACAATAGGAGATTATGGAAACTGATTTGCAAAAAATGCAAAAAGCTGCAAAGTTAGACCCCAACATTGTTGTTCAAGCCCTGTCTCCGCCTTCTCAACATAGAACTTGGAAGTATGCAAGGATGAAGAAAGGTGGATATATCAATCAGACTGTTGCTAACATTGCTCAAAAAATTGTAAGTACTTGAATTAAAACAATCTAAATTAAATTAGTGTTCACATTCTGTTGACTTATCATTTATTGCTTGTACGTTATAGGATGCACTTGAGGAGCAGAGCAGTCAAGGTTTTTTTACTCCAAGTGGAAAGATGGATATCCTGGCAGCTGCAACTGGGAAGTTAGACCATCCTGGTCGAGTGAGAGGATTATCAAAGACAGTTGGTTTAACCCAATATGTTGGTTCCGGTTCACAAAGCTCTACAGGCAGAAGTGTCCCAAGTGCTGACCTGATGGACAAAATTTGAGCACAAGTTCGTGAAGAGATTATGACAAGTGATGAGGTTCGTCAATTCTTCAAAAATGAGTTTATGTCCGACATTCGGGAGGAGATGAGGTCTTTAGTTTCTAGCATGCAAATTGGGCAATTTCAACCACAAGACCGTACACCTTAGGTATATAATCACAACATAAATAATTTTGTTTTGAATTTTGTCAACATTGTTTCCATTTAATTCTATTCTTTTATTTGTATCATGGTCTCAAAATTCTCCAGCCTATGGCAGCACAAAAGGGAGTTTCAATCCACAAGTGCCGTCAGTTTCGTTTGACCCTAGCCCCCCACTAAATAATGGAGAACCATGTGTTCTCTATTTAGATGACCCAAATATGCGTGTTGTTGCCAATGCCATTAGATACACAAACGGGGTCTAAAATTCATAATAAAAAAATCCCAGCGGACTCGGTCAAAGTGACGGTTACGGCTGTTTGAGAGGAGGAGGTAGATGTAGATTTGCCGTTTCCTAGTGACGAGGTTGGCAAGCTAGGCGAAGCAAAAGGCCATTTTATTTTATGGCCTAAAAGACTCATTTATGTCATATCTCCAATGGTACAAAACGCAAGCATTTTCTATTTTCTCTTTCATATACTATTTATGTTACTTATTTTTATTCTATTTTTCTATTAGGACGTTGAAGATGCTACTAAATTTTCCTGTTTGGCACAACTGTATGACATTTATGAATCAGTTAACAAAGTCAATATACAAATGCCTAGTGGGATTGTGGGAGAACAAATCACATATCATTTTGGTTTGGACCAGAGGGATCTCAAGGACTTTCTATCCCTGGATCAGCTGGACATTGCATGGATTCAACTGGCAATAATGTGATTTTATTTTATGATTTATATTTTCTAATTGCTCATTTTTACTTATATGTATGAATTAATTTTTGTTTTGTATCAAATATATGATAGCTACTTTCACAACTTGTGCGCTTCTACGGGAAAGGGACATTTGTATGGATTTATGTGTCCAGCTGCTTTGCAACCTTTGAAGAATAACATTGATAGCCAGATGAGATATGTGGATAATACCATAGCAGACACTCGCTTACCTTGTTATTTTGCTCCAATTATCGAAAAGTAAGTAGCTTATATCTTTATTTGCATATTTATATTTATTTAATTTTCAAAGAACCTTCACTGATTTTCCTTCTTTTTATGTTTCAGTGGACATTGGTCGTTGTGCATTCCTTGTCTCCGAGATAATATCATTTACTGGTTTGATTCATTGGGTCGTCCCCCAAGCAAGGAAATGAAACATATCTTCGACACGTAAGTTTTGTGGTCAAATATATTGTTTTCCTAATTCATTAAGTTATTCTAATCCCTAGTCATTTCTATTTCGTCATAGGGCTTTTAAAACATATTATATACGGGGAGGGAAACGTGAGGGAAAAAATGGCAAGACTGTTTGGCACAAACCAAAAGTAAGAATATTTTCAATTCTTTAATATCATCAACTACATATATACATATTCATATTCACTTTGATTTTACAATGTCATCGACAACCAGGAAGTGCAGAGTGCAGATATTATATTATCCGTTTCATATATGAAATTATCGAGTCTGAATGTATTCAAAATTTTGAGATGGTAATAATTCGTTTAATTATGATTATTTGCTTTTTCTATTGAATTGTTTTTCTTTAATTCTCTTATTTTGATGAATTCAACTTCTTATTTATATAACTTGCAGATCTTTGATGATGAAAGTTGTTATGATAATGAAGAGATTGATGCTATCCGAGATCATTTGGCAGGACAATTTCTTCAAGAGTTTTACACTCAAAATGATACATGAGGTTACCAGCTTGGATGGTAATATTGAAGTTTCTAGGTCCATTTTGATTGTTAAAACATGTTAGAATGTTACTAGGATTGTGTAGGATTGTGCATGTGTTCTTTGAATGGATCTGAATCTATTGAAATATTATGTAATGATGTGGATTATGGAATTGCATCTGAATTGTTGGATTGTAGATTATGGAATAGATCTGCATTTGAATTGTTGGATTATTATGTAATGATGATGACAACTATATTAGAATGTCACAAGGGCTTGTAAGTGTATTATTGGATTGTGGATTATGAAATAGGTCTGAATTTGTTGAATTTGGCTGTACTTTATTTTTTGAAAAATTTTCAAGATTTTCTGTAAAAAAGTCGGGAAATTTCAGTTTTGTGCGCTTTTTTTTTTATATAAAACATTTTCGTCTGTTCAACTTGAATAGACGAAAATAGAGTATTATATTCGTCTGTTTCAGAGGAACAGACGAATATAGTATAATATTTTCGTCTGTTCCAAAACAGACGAAATTAACAACTCATATTCGTCTGTTATTGTAACAGACGAATATGTATTATTATATTCGTCTGTTTATCTAAACAGACGAATATATTATACTATATTCGTCTGTTCGGCAACAGACTAATATTCACTTCCCATCTACGTCTCTTTCATCTACATCCCCTTCAAAACAGACGAAAAAGGACCATCAGAACAGACGTAAATGAACTTTTTTGTAGTAGTGGAAATGACATGTCATATATAAATCAAGAAAGGATTACTTCTTTACTCTCACATTTTTTCCAGGTGAGAGCTCTAAAGGAGGGACGTCAAGAAAGGTTTAAAGGAAGTAAGGCTACATCAATGAGTTGTAACATCTCCATTACTGCCATTATGTTGAATTGCGTATATTGTGACCTCTAGGACATTTTTATGCATTTATTTATGTGATTCATTCATAGTGATTTTTTAGGGATTTTGATAAAACTTGAGTACTATGATTTTTAGTTCGTGAAACTTAAGGTTTTGAGTGCTATGAGGTATTGATTATGAACAATAGAGCTTCTAGAATCTATTTATTTTAATTGAATTATGTTATGATCAATCAGGTGTGTGCCTCTTTTTATAGCTATATGTGACTAAACCATTAAAATTCATGATTGTTGTTATAACCATGGTAGCGTCATATGGATTACTCAAGTTCTTTTTCTACCATGGCTAGCCTTAAAGAAAAATATATCTTAAAT